TCGTGAGGTTAAGATCAGTGGTTCTCTTGTTGACATCCTTGAAGTCACACACCTCAGCTATTTGAAAGAATGTCGTGTATCACTCTGGATCAAAGCCGATGGGTATCATGTTCCAACTTTCTTGTTTTTTCCACCACCGAAATGTAGTACTAATGTAATGAACGCTTCATTGATTGTATTCTTGAGACTACTTTTTGGAAAACTCACTTCTATCTTTGTTTCCGTTCTATCTTCCCTTTTTCTACTTCTTAGCTTATTGTTTGTCTAATTTTTGTGTATGGTTCATATCTTGGTTCTCGTGTACTAGGTTTATGTTCTAATGAAAATTGAAATGATCATGATACAGCTACCGTGTTTCAAAAGTGCATACGGGGACTGAGTAAACTGTATGGCAGAATGTTTATTCTTCTATCCCACTGGTTTCAGAGATTGAGGATGGCTATGATGGAGGCGAGACAGCGAAGTCGTACACCTGGCTGATGGTATGTGACAACATTGAGGTGTTTCCTTCAGATAAACAATCTTGCCACGCTGATATACCGTTCCGTGTAGGATAGGTGTTTTAGAAAAGATTGACTTAAAAAGTAGTACACCTCTCCCTACCATTCAAAGTTCCAATGCTATGGGGCGGGGGGGGGGCTGCCTTTCCAGCAGTCGGACCTCGTAGCTCAGTTGATATAGCATCGGGCCGGTAACGCGGTGGTCGCTGGTTCGAATCCGGCCGCAGTCCAGATTTTCACCTCACCCTTAATTATCACCCAGTATGAATTTAAATCAATTGAAGCTAAACCTTGAGCTTCCGAAAAGACAGTGTATTACCGGTCTTTGACTGATGTCCTCTGGACTGGATGGTAAAGCATTACTGTTACTAATGCATTTTCTTTTTTAGGTACCTCAAGAAGAGGTAACTTTTTACTTCGTGTGCAGCCAGAAACTATCAGCCGCCCTAACAAATTTTTCACACTCATGTTCCCCCGGTTCGCTTTCAACCTTTCATTTCTGTACCTTCTAACCTTTCTTCACTTCTCTTTCAATATTTCTATGTCGTCTGTTCCAGCTCTGGAGTCCTTGATAACGGTCCCGTGGTTCGGAATAGCATCCACAGTCTCCTGAAACCGTGATCCAAACTGCACATCGAAGCTTTCAATGTTCGCACCCTCCATCGAATCGGAAAACAAGCTTCGCTAGCCAAAATTCTTGATTCTCGTGCAGTAGATGTGTCCCATATTTGTAATGCTTGCATACAAAACCCGAAGCCATTACTACATGACCTCATCCAGACTATTAGAGATCTGCAAAATTCACTTTTCTTAGTTGTCCAGATTCATCACCTTACCGTCGTGGTTTCGTTCATGTAAGCCGATAGTGCACTATTTGGCTGGATCCCACTTGGAACTTATCTAAATACTGTTCTTTTGAGTAATGCTGTAGGGACTGAAAAGAATAGTGAATCTTGCTATTGTCTCTTTGTAATCACTAGATACGCAACCACTGACTGAATTTCAGATGAAGTGATGAATGAGTTCCGGCGCGAACTTTCTAGCCTCCCACTCAAAACAAACCAGTCAAATGTGATTGTCGTAGCAGGTGATTTCAATGCGCAAGAAAGGGAGGCTAAATCAGACGGAAAGTCACTCAGGTGGCACTTTCGGAATCGCAGCCGAACAAAGTGATAACGGTAGTCACCCTCTACTACTGTGCTCAGACAACTACGTACTTCTGACTAACATGAACATCAGATATAGAGGCAGACATTGTCTTAAATGGCATCCACTGACCTCAACTCAACGGCTTACATAGATAGACCATATTGCTGTCGGTCATCATTGAAAATGGTCGGTGGAAGATTACCGCTACTTGAAAAGCAATTTCAAGGAAAGTGATCACGCGTCAGTTTGATCTCTAGTATATCTGTGCCTAAGTAGTTGTAGGAAAGCGTCAGCAACAGGACTATTCTGAGTGCTGATCGATGGCGAGAATAGTAGGATCGCTATCTATGAGGAACTAGCTAGACAGTTATCGGGGCAAGAGAACTTCGCTCATCTTGTAGAAGCCAAGCGTCATCTTCATTCTGCTGTAGAAACAGCTTTAAAGAACTGACTCTCAGGTGGTAAAAAAGTTCCGTTGATCTCAACAGCTGTATTGATAAATAAATGTAAACACATTCCTGTAGATTCCAAGTAGAATCAGGAGCTGAAGCAACTCAAAGGCAGACTAAAAAGAGTTCTAACAATAACCACAAGCAGTAGTGGGCTGAGGGGATGACAAAGGCGGTAGCGTTAGGTAAATGTAGACAGTCATGTATACTGACCGTGCAAAGTGGGGCGAAAATGTCTATGGTCATTGAGACCGTAGCGGAGAAGAAGTGGTTTGGGATTCGCACACAGTAAAGATACCTGGAAAGTTGAGCGAAACACTTCGACTAAACTTCAGTTACTATTCCGTTATCCATCATCTAGTCGGATTCTGAATTGATCACTAAGATCGTCTTCCCACTTCTTTCAGAAGTTGAGAAGCCTACAAATGACCTGAAATGATGAAGTTCTGCAGGACCAAACTGTTTGGTACCGAAGATACTTAAGGATGGTGATCGAGGATTATTGATAAGAGTAACCGGTGTTATCTGTCGTATTGAAATCATTTATGATCTTATATGACTGTTCTGGATCACTGTTTGTCCCCGTCCTCTAGAAAAAGTAAAAGTTTTGTTATTATAACCATTGGGGAATCAGTTTTTAACGAACACACTAAGATTCTAAGGGCATGATCACTAGACGCATAAGTGAAGATGGAAACCAGCGAACCTGAGAATACCAGACATGTTTCAGACCTGGTCGTGGGTGTATCAACCTGCATTCTATTATGCCGATCGAGCTGTATAACAGGGTCTCGCTAAAGTATGACGTATAATTACGCAGCCCTGTTTAGGGTCGTGCATTCAGATAACCGTCGACGTGTTGCGGCCTACGGTGAGGTATCAGGTAAAGTTTTACCCCTCCAGTGATATATGTCAAAGTTGGTCTTTATCTCGATTCTTATTTAATTTAGGTTTAAATGTACTTAGGAAGGTCTCGCTCTGTTTGTTTGACCTTACGGTAACTGAACTTGATACGACAGACTCCTTGGTAAACGCAAAGTAGGTGGATGACCTAGTCCTATTAGGTGATGTTGATTATGTAGTCTTCTGGACATTTTGATTGGTAGTGGAGAATGTTTGAGATCCATTTCTCACCAGCAAAATGCAAATTGTTACTGCAAGACTGATCTGTGTTGATGCTTGGTCGAACAGTAGGGATTAAAACAATTGTGCACGTTGACCATTTCACTTACTTTGGAAGTCTTATTGGCCGTCATGTGTAAGTGACCGACGAAATCTCTACACGGTTCCAGATGTCTCACTTGGCCTACTGCAAATTACGCCGTTATTGGCACTGTTGTGATATGCAGTCGCTTATCAGTGGCCGAGTGTACTGAGCAGCAGTCAGCTCTGTCCTACTATTTGGCTGTGTAACACGGTCATCAAAAGTAGAGGACATGAGACGACTTCACGTGCCCTACCATCGTTACCTCCGTAGCACCGGTCATGTGTTGTGGAACCACCACGTCGATCATTAAGAAATGTCGGACAAAATAAACCTGTTTGGCATATACAAACTTACGCCATCCGTAATGGTGGTGTAGCGTCCGGTTACGTATGAAAGAATGAATATACTGTACAGCAACCCATGCATAGTGCTTGAAAGCAGAATATAGGGAAAGGTTACAACCTTTATGATCTCAGGTGCCTTCGTAACACTGCTTCCGTGTAATGAAACCACTATGTTTGGAATGTCAGTGTTAAGTGGAGAGCACTAAGTTAAAAAAGACCAGTCAGTTAATGAGGTCGTGAACCTTCATCGGCGGAGGCGGCGTGGACATGTGTTACGCACCTCGAACCACCGCCTACTTTAAGGTGCGATGTCTGCCGAAGTGGGATTGGTTTAGATAAAGGTTAGTGGTAGCTAGACCATGATATGGCATCAGTGCATCAGTCTCCGACTGTTGGTCCCAACTGTGTGGAGAATTATGAACTGCTCAGCTTTAATCCTGAAAATTAGGAAGTCAGGGGTTGGAGACCTGTTTGAGATGACTGTTAGTCGGCCACAGTGGCGCAGATGTATTCATTTTTTGGCGTCTTCTAAAGCTTACACACTTTCACTAATTTTGATTTTCATATTAATTTTCCTTCCATATACCCTTGGATACTTTGACATCACTTTTTGCATGTTGCTGTGAAGTTTGACAACCTAAACCGATGCACTTCTGTGCAATGTTGTATGTTAATTTTATATATCTGTTTGTCAGAGTTACAACCCCTTTGACTTTTGCCTAACCGGTGATATTAGTATGGATTTATTTTGTATCCACGGTCTTTGAAATTCTTGTTTTAGAATCGTAAGTGCATCTGGTAAAGATTTTTAGCTTAGATAGAACAAAGAAACTATTATAGTGTTGCCAGATTTTCAATGATTATTCTGCTTATTACTTTCACTTACAATAATCAGTCACAGAAATGTTTTCAGTATCATACCATTTTGTCTTTTGCGCTAATTTGATAAACTTGATCAAGTTGGACAGTGTCATTGATTGTTTTGACATCATTGTAAACTGTATTTTTTTAATGGCTTTTATGGTTTATTTGTGATTTGATTTGCTTAATGGTGATATCTTTGATTATATTAGTGAGTGACACTAGTTGAAGTCCCCACGGGGGTGTTAGTTTTTTTAAGGTGACAGATACACTTTATTTATGCATACCAAAAAGTTGGAACTTGGTGAAAGCAATGTTAATTGCCTCAAGTTATCCTTCGGTTGATATGTCATAAAGAAAGGTAACCATTTCTGTGTTGTTTTTATTGTATTTCATATCAATGATTAAACATATGAAGTGGATAGTTTCTTTCTTTTTATTATTATTATTATTATTATTATTATTATTATTATTATTATTATTATCATAGGAGACATTGTTAATATTTCACGAAGATCCAAATATACCTGTCTATCGCCAGACTGCGACTAAATTATCTCCTTCTACTCTTGACAATGCGATGTTAGCCTACAGTCAGTTACTTGTACCCAGGATATATAGTCGTGCTCGTTTGCTCGATCTTTGCCCCACTGATGGAAGTGAGCCAGCAAGTAAATATGCACTGGAGTCTGATAAACGTCATAGTCAATCAAATTATCATCCTCACAGTCATCGTCATATATGCCTTGTACTTTTGTTACACTCTCGACAATCGAACGTTGAGAAAGTACACAGTCTAGGTGATATTTGGTTACAAATATTGAGTAGAACTATTGAAAAATCTCAAAAAGATCTATCAAGAATGTATAATCTCGGTGGGAGTAATTTTCATTTCATGCCTGTGCATATTTATGTGGATCGTCAGTTTGAGTTAATGAGTAAACTGAGTACATTTTCATGCTCAGATGAATCTTGTAATTTACTTAATGAAGGTGAGTTTATAAATTATGAGTATAATTACCTAGATTGATCACTGTATTCTTGATTTTTTGTTTTTCCCCAATGTTGACTAACTGAACTAAATTTTATAACATATCGGCCATTTCTGGAGTTTTCTTTCTTTTACCGGATTGTAATTTTTTCTAATAATTCCAGTAGCATTAGACACCTCTGTCGGCTGGATATACATGGATCCCATCGGGTCATACTATCCTCAGTGAAATTAACTCACCAACACCAAAATTGGATAGGTAAGGTTGTAGCCTTATTTAAATCCCGACAACTGAGTCCAATCCACTTATTGTGGTCTGTAAAACAGAATAGTAACATTGATTTCCGCGCTATATTAGTTGTCTCTGAAATTCTCGACGATTTCGCAGCTCTTGCCAATGCTTGATAAAGACTGATCTGTAAAGAATATGAAGAAATTTACCCATAAGATTAGTTTATCCTTTTCAATTCAGTAAAGTTTTGATTTGAGTGACTTTAAAGGCTATCCTGGTAACAACTGGAATGACCAATCAAACTTTTGTATTTTATTAAAATCTGCCTTTCCAGCTGAAAGGAAGAAAGCTGATTTTTTATTTCTGTCGTTGCTATAGTGGCCTTTAAAGTCACCTTTTAAATTTAAGTGTGTCTGAAAATGAGTGACTTCAAAGGCCACCCTAGCAGAAACTGAAATAAGCGATTCAGTATTTCGGCTGAGGAGGCAAGTTTTCATAAAATAGGGAAATCTGATTGGTTATTTTAGCTGTTGGTGGAAAATGATTGTTTTGACTGTCACTTCAACAGCCATTAGAAGGTTTAAGCCACCTTTATGCTTTCAAAAAGAATTTATCATCACATTAAACCTTCTTTGGTAAATTTAACTGTGAACCCAAGGTTATTGTTGTTGTTGCTTTATTCATCTTCATTGTTATTTTTACCTTCAGTATAGGCTTCTTATTTGACCAATAATTATTTTCCTACGCCTTAACTCTGCAAGTTTTCATATGAATGACAAGTACGTATTTGACCAGATTGTTCGAAGTGTTTTGGGCAAACACATTACACGATTCATACAAATTACGTCTTCTTATTGCTTTTTTGAAACCTTTTTTTGCTGTCTAAAGCTCATTTATCTACTTTATAAATAGTGCATGGTAGCAACATTTTAGATTTGAATCTCTGGAGTGAAGTTTTGTACTTTTTATTTGACGTATTGCATGCAGTAGGGCAAAATCTAGCTTGATGGTACATCAAAAAGCATAGGGTCACTAATTATTTAGGGTACTACTTCTAGTTCATATTCTTCGGCTTCATCTGTCTCATCAACTCCAAGTACCTGTAATTTTCACATATTTCTTAAAAGTAATGAACACTTCTTATTTTCATGTATCAGTGTACTACAGATGATTTTAATGGACATTTAGGTGTGTCGTCCGTTTAAAAGTTGGCATAGACTGGTGACACAACTCATCGACTCGTTGACTGTTTATATGCCAGGCTATAAGGTAGTTCAAAGTAATTAGAGTTGGGTTTAAACCTTGAATTTTCCACTAAAAAGTCGAATATTTAAGCCAGTAAGCCACAATTCGAATGGCATAAGCTGATCAGAGTTAAATGGATCTTTTACCAATATTGATATTGATTCACAATTGTTAGCTCACTGTTACTGATTCGTGCAAACAAATTGATTTGCAATTCTTCGCCATCTATTCAACACCAAATGAAAGTATCATATTGCTAATTAACAGTTGTGTGATATTGTAAAAATTGATGAATATATTTCAGTCAACACTGCTACTTCTGCCAAATCAAATGACTGAGTTGGGAATTTTTGAGTATTTTATCATGATGTTTCTTTTTCTTTCCTCATTTCTCCTCCTCCCCTCCCTCTAAGATAATTTGGGTCGTTTGGCATTAATCTGGCGTATCAGCTCAACAGAAACTGCATATCGACTTCTTCCAACCGATTCGTTGTCTCATCCAAGAAAATATGTAAATCAACAAACTCTTGGACAAAATCCCGCGGATAGCATAATAATGACATCTGTTGAAAAGATGCGTACCGCTTTAATTAAAGATTTAGCGGATATCATGAAAACAATAACTGTTACAATGAATCTACCAAGTCGGTTGTCCTCTAGTACAACAAAAAAGTCACATGACTGGTATGTGCTAAAAGACTGCATTATTGAAGAACTTATCGTGGATGAATTACAGGCATCAATATGGATCCGATTACGGAATAGGATACTGCAGATTGTTATTGATATTGGACACTGGATTTTGAGTATGTTTTTAAGTGGTTTTACAGTTTTGATTTTTTTTCGTATCACCTTTGATAGTGATAGCCCTAATTGTAGAGATTACTGTTAAGACTTATGAAAACCTGAGTGGGTACAGATTTCTTTCCCAAATTTCCATCTTATTTCACTGCTTATAAGTGTCCTAACTTGATATAGTATACACTATACGGCATCAAGGTATTTGTCGTTAAATCTGTCGATCATCATCAACGTGAGACTTGGCATTATAGCACAACGGTTCGAATAATCTCACCTCATATCAGCACATCAGGGTATGATGCACCAAGATAAAGGATTGAAAAGTAGGCGAAGCTGCAATCGAAAAGAGAACAATGTCCTTAAAAATAGAAGGAAAGGATACAAAATGACGAGATTCACCATGACGATCAAGGTATAAGTGATGTGTAGATGTATCTGCATCACTGACATCGATTTAGAGGCAAATCGCCTATAGTTCCTAGTCGCTGATTTCTGTTGTCACACCAACCTTAATTGGAAGGTCTACATTGGCCTATTTGGCCCAGATTAACAGTCACTTTCTTCATGGACTCATACTGTCTTTTAGTCTACTTCCGCTTCGCTGTTTTTCCAGCTTAAACCGACTTCAGCTAACAGTGCAGAATGGCTTAGACCGCAACTAGCCATGCGTAGCTTCTGAGTCGATGAAGGTTGAGAACCTTATCATGTTAGCGTTCCTATTCCTACTCTACGCCTGACTAATGTAACTTACCTGGTGATACCTTGAAACAAGACGAATGCTACTTAGGTAATGATGATTGGAAACCTGAAGCCGTTTTGCGTCCTCTACTTTTGTCGTCCTTGTTTTGGGACCATTTAATAGAAAAGAGCACACAGTGCACTCGGCTTTTAATGAGCAATACGGTGGTGAAATTAATGGCGTAAGATGGTATAAGCCTATTTTTAAAACCCTCTCCGAAATTATATTGTTCTTTGTTCTCTATTATATTTTCAGTGAATGATTGTAAAATCTCGACCATCTATAACAACTTGGAGGTGTGCTATATACCCCCTAATTTTGCATAACTTTTGCCTGATGTTTGCTGATAACCTTAAAATAACTTATTATTGCTATTTTCTCACTGTCACTAGCTTTTTTCTCCCACAGTTCTGAAGGCTGGACACTCATTGACTGTTAACTCTTTTAACCTAAATGTGGATTCAGTGCTGTCAAGGTCATTTAGAATCCCTCTCAACCGTCTTTGACTGTTGTTGAGGCCGTAAAAATTTCTCTGTCGACATTCCTTCTTCTCTTCTTGTCTTAGTCTGTTGATGGTATTGTTGTTGTTGTTGTTGTTGTTGTTGTTACTGACGTTCTGATTAGCCTTTGGAGTCGATTTGTTGCGCCTTAGGTTCGTATCGCTCGTAGACCGTTATGCCGCACTATCGGTCATAACAGTATGTTAACCTGAATAGTTTATAACAAATTCATATTTTTGGAAAGGGTCTTCTTTACAAAATGGAGGCGCTTAGGAATAATATAAAATACTGATTTATTTTGTTTATTCTTATGTACCATGATGGGATTACACAAGTAATGTATACACTTGAAACAACTATTTCCCAGTTTTTTTATTGAAAAAGTTTTGTGCTTTAAGACTAATCTGAAGCTTGATTTGTCGAACTGTTAGGTAACTTATTTCGAAAAGTAATATCTTGTCACAGTTGGTGCATTTTTCTCATTAAACATCTGTCTGCGTTCAATTGAGATGGTTGACTGTGCTTTTGCACTCGCTATCAATGAATATGGGTGGGATTATCAAGATTTAATTGCTCATTTTTAACTCTAATACCACATACAATCGTGTAAGATTTTACCAGTAAACCGAACTTTGTGAAGGAGATTAAAATAAATCATGATCGATTTTAAGAAATATTAAATAATGCAGTCCAGTATCTCTACAACGCTTCTACAACATTAATCTTTTACTTCGGACATTGTATTGTGAACTATTTCGCGTCACTTAAGCTATTGCGCTTAACGTCAGCTGAGGAAAAAGATTCTTGTGGGTGATGAATTAAGAGTGTTCAGCTTAAGGCTGTGAGAATGTTAGATTCCCAAAAATGAACGCTTAATTCTATATTTATAAATACTACCTGTCAGAAATGTTTTCACGTTTTTTCCCCACCTCGCTTGTTTGTTTTTTATGCTTTTACTTCCTTCAATTGTAATATCCTAGCTTATCTGTTTATCCCGAAGTCTTATGCATAGAACGTGAACCAACGAGTTGTATGTATATGTGCATACCGTTTCTGATTGAAGTAGACTCCCTCAAACCAATGTTGTCTTCTTTATTGTACTAGTCCAGCGATTTATTGAGGATTTTATCTCCCTTATTCTTGCATTCAGATCAGACGTCCAGAATCTATCAAAACTGCGGATCTTAACACAACCATATTCGGCAGGTTAACCTGCTTAGTTTCTGTTGATAGTGTTGTACGTTTTCAAGGATTCGTCTTATGCCTTATCATCTTAAACGTTGTAATCACATTCCATCATTAGCCTTAACTTATCTTCGTCTTCTGATATAAATTCCTACGACTTTTGGTTTTACTGTTCCAATTTCTTTATCTTTCTTGTTGCCTTGTATTTCGACATAACTATGCGTCGTGTTGCAACTTGAAGCATCAGTCAGTCAAACGAGGGTCCATGTTAATAACTGCTAACCGATCTATATTTATTTGGGGTCTACTGTTTTGGAACTGAAAAAGAAAATGACTTATGAATTGACGTTGAATCAAATAGCCTCTAGGTTGTCTATTTCGCGACAGAACCACTTTCCAATGAAGTCGGATTTGTAATTCTGTCAATAACAGAATCTTCAGTTGCATGTAAAACACTGAACAAGTAATTCAACAGTGTTAGTTTTAACCCGACTGTTATCAAACTTTAATTTCACTTTTTCTCAAGAGTAGAAGTAGGCTACATATTCAAACCACTCACCGTTTCTATGGTTAGTTAGTTTCTTCAACCTCACTCAACAGATATGACTTATATTTTATTGCACGAATTTGAGCTTGTTCTCTAAGTTGCATTCATAGACTGACCCATATAGATTAATTAAAAAAGATTCTAAAACCAAATTTTCGAGTTATGCATAAAATATCGAAATCAAGAACACTAAATTTTTATCAAGGACAGCACTACAGCATAGAAATTGATCAGAATACAAATAAATAATGGTTAATTCCTGGGTTTATATAAAGAGGAAAAAATTAGTTCTGTTGATTTTCCAGTCTTTTTCAGTTATGTAAATGAACCGTTAATGAACAGACTATCAGATCTTCATATGTTTCACCCAAATGCACATGTTCTACACTTTTTTTTTCTTATTCATTACAGCCTTTCAAATCATCCACTGGCGTTTGTATTTTCAAGCTTTTTGATTATAATTGGGTTATTGCTATTCAGTTTTCTGTCAACAATATCACAAGCTATGACAAATGAACAGATGAAATGTGGTACGAAGAAATCTGACAGTAAAGTTGAACAAACTACCACAACTCGAAGCACTTCATTTTCAGCTCCAGCTACTAATTCAAGTAATATTAGGGATGGTCACAAATTTTATGAAAAGTTAGTTTTGTTTATCGTCGTTTCTTCATCTTTAAATGTATCTTCTCGATGATTATTCACCAAGGTAATTTAGATATTGATATGGGTGATACTGAATGAAATATCCAAAGTAACTTAAATTAATCCCGAATGACTGTTACCGCTCCTCTTAGTACCCTATGCGTGGATGAACCACAGGAGTGACAACTGACGGAAGAATTTTATGTGTTTAACCAAATACAATACCGCATTTCTGATCTGCAAAAGAAAAAAAATGCAACAAACAAGTTAATTTTTGGCAATAGGATTCTCTAGAGCCTTTACAATCGTATTCAAACATAAATAGAATACATATTTAATGGTAAAAACTCTCAACATGATTTGCAGAACATTAGTTCTTTCAAATGCACTCAGGAGCCTTGTACATATATTCGTACAACAGACAATGAACCATACCTATTATGTGAGGGCTAGTGTTACTGCCCGGCTGCCCAAACCTTGGTAGGTGGGGTGAGGTTCAAACTCATAACCCATTTATATAAGAGTAAAACTTGTGCACTTTGGTAGAATGTAATTCCATTTTTATTGGTTCATTAGATTTATTACACAGTGTAACAGTATTGTTTACTGGATTACGTTACGGACATAATTTATTGTCCATAGTTATATCAAGATGACTACACAACTTTGAGATATCCTTTACATAGTCCTAATTTTTTTTCGCCTCTTTGTGAGGTGGGCAGTAAGATTTTCCATATATCCGGAACAGGTGCTGAGTCATTCCTGTTGCATGTGTTAGGTGTTGATTCGATAAACAAAGATTCAGTTATCAATCTCTCCCTCCACCCTGTTATGTTAGTTTTAAGATTCTTCACCCTGTCCCATCCTATTGTGTGGTTGTGTGTAATCGCATTCATCCTTACCTTATTAGGATCTACCGATTTTGACCTAGCTAAGTTTTGTGTTCCGATAGCCTAATTGATCCTGGTCAACTACTTTGACCTACGTATTTGACCTGACAGTCGTTGCAAGGGATTCAGCAAACTAAGTTATTCTGCTTAATTGGATCAATAGGATCTTTTAACCTACAAAGCTGATTTCGAAGTGAGTTTGTAGGTTTAAATGCCACTCTAATCCCAGCCATATTGAGAATTCTATGTAGTGTTTCTGGGGTGCCTTCCTTGTATGGTAATACTGAGGAGGTTTTGAATTCTCTATTCACAATATTGCTGCTACTATTATTAACATCATTAATACTGATTATTGTTGTTGTAACTACTACTATTAATAACTGTGTTACAATTCCTAAGGGGCTTATCAATTAATTTGGGAGGGTAATTGTTGGTGATTAAGGCGTCTTTAACGTATCTGGTTTCTTGTTTTAGATCTTCTGTTTTACTAGTAAGTTTTTTGGCTCTGTTACTTAGACACTTTACTGACAGGGCCTTGTATCATGATATCTTTGTTCACTTATCCTGAAGTTGTTCTCCTTTTTTCTCAGTCTGTTATTTTAGTAGATTATCATATCAACTTTAATTTATAATTCTTTAAATGGGCAAATTTGATTTTGGAATAATATAATCTGCACATAGTACTTTTGGCTAACTTTTTTGAAATCGATCCCCCTCATTGGTTCAATAACCTTTGCAGTCAGTTTCTTGTTATTCTCTAACCATGTCATTTGTGCACCTCTATTATACTCTTAAAGATAATGTCATTGATGAAACTACTTGCGGTTACTGTGAAGTTGCATGCGTCATTGATCGGATCTTCTTACTAAGTTATTCAGGAGACTGAAGACAAAACTAACCGTCAACATACGCATATAGGGTTTTAAATGGGATTTAAGTCATCAAAATTTTCTATGTGTAATGAACATTTCAAAATTTCTTACCTTATAATTTTTTTCCTTTTAACTACAATTATCTGGAATCTACTACGTTCAGTTGGAGTTTGCGCGGGCTTTCGAACTTTTCAAACAGATAAAATTAGCGAAAATAATATCTAAAAATAGCAATTGACTGAAATTTATAGTTTATAATGTGGGTTAGTGTAATCAGTGTAGATTTTGGACTGCATATTCTCTAATTTTCACCTGTCTGTTACTTCCTGATAACTTAAAATCGCTAGGCGATAGATATTCCTCAGTCGAATAGTTAATTGCATCAGGAATTTCTTCAAAAAAAAGTCGATAAACAATTCACTACTGTAAAATACTAACATAATGGTAGAATTTGGGATTTGTGGTAGCGCATAATTCCACTATACTTTTTGACAATAACTATAATTGTAGAACGCTGTTTTAAAAATTGTCATACCGAATAATCTTTTGTGCTTATTTTTGTGTCTAGGTCATCGATGGCAACCCCAGTAGTAGCTTTAAATCCTTCTACATATGATCACCTTGTTCGTGAGGCACCCAAAGGTTTTAGACTTCTTGTACTTTGTGTCCGTGGTAGTGGTTCTCGGGATGACCGATTACGTGAACAGTTTGATTTAAAAAGTCGTCGAGTGTGGTGAGTTGTCTCTGTTTTTAATTTTTATAACCTCTTCGAGTCTTCACTGTGACTAAGTGGAGATTAACTATTAGTATTAAGTGACAACAGTGACAAGAAGCTTCAAATATAGATCTCCCGATCGCTTACAACCTTTAAGAAGGTTTTTACGTTGTCGTTAGGTTGGTCAAAACCGACTAGATTTTATGACAAAATCGCGCAACTTTGTGCGAATGTAAGCCATGCAGCTTATGTCATCCTGGTGAGTTTTTTATCAATGGTCCCTTCGTAGTTAACAGGTCATAGGATAAATTGGTGCATTTCTGCGGAAAGTTTCGGAATACATCCATATGTGTTTAGTATACAATGGTACAGCATTTTAGTATGTTTATTTATTAACTTATTTAACACAAGCTCGGTATAGCACGAGTACTAAGAAGTGTGCCACATAAAAACATAATAGTACGGAAAATACAAAGGAAAGTAAATAAAAGAGAGGAGTATAATAATTAAATGAGCGGACCTGTGTGGTCTTTTTGAATATTTTCGTTACTTCTGCGCTTTCGAAGTACGGGAGACTAAGGATGAACTTCACTAGTTTCAATTCCAAAGCATACTTAGTTTCATCCGAAGCCATTGAGTCACATACTTTTTTGTTACCTCCCCCTAACAGTCTTGAACTATGTACGGATTCTAACCCAGTATGACTGTTCTTAATCCCAGGCTTCAGGTTCACACACTGAACTCCTCTTTTAACTAGTTATTAATTGGTATTGAAGCTGCTGCAGTTGAACATCCAGATCTCGGAGAGGCTAAGTAGCATTGATACATTGTACACTTGACATTTTACAGTCAGACGAACTTGACAGCAGCAGTCGGGGTGATATTGGTGTATACCGTTCCAGTTTTCGACTGGAAATTTCATTCGTTATGTTTGTGGCAGTGTTTGCAACATTACTAAGATGCACTACTTTTAGCCAGTAATCAATGAAGTGAATGGAACCTTAAGCTTTCGTTAATTTTGTGCAGATGATTGTTACATACATTGCGTGGATCTTCTCAGATGATGCGTACCGCTACAACCTCATTGCAAATTATTAAAGATAGAAAACTCAGTTTGTATAACTTTCCATGCAATTTAATTGGTTCCCTGACTGGAGCTTTTTCACTTCACCTCATTCTTCAGACAATACGGAATGTGAGTTGTTTGGGTTCCGATCCTAAAGATGTTTCATCATTCAGGGTAACTTATTAACCTTCTGTTTGCTAGGTTAGTTGATGTTAGCCCAATCTACAGTTTGTCGGAACACTGATCTACATAACGAACATACATCCTTCTCCTTATCAGCTGATTACTGTAGACGAACCTTCCAAACTTACTGCCCACAGATAAATGGAGATGCAGTTAACTAATGCAACTCTAGCTAGAGCTTACGCCATTCTTGGGTATGTTACTAACTTGACGTTCTGGCTGGGCCTGAGTATCACAATAGCCCGATGAGCTGTGCTGGTGAAAACGCTTGTTCCCTGTAGGTGTCACCATGCCAGAAAGCTTTGTTGGATAGTGGTAAAACAAGAAGCAGTTACTGTTATAATTTACATAGCTGCGTTATGATGAGGGTTCGAGGGAGAATCTGTTCTGCCGGTTGGAGCATGTGATAATAACAAAGTGTTTCCAGCCAAAGCCAGCAGTTCGTTCTGATGCTGCCTTCCGTGTGGGAAGGTTTACCACCAAAAGTTTTCAACGAAAGAGGTAGGAAGTACTGAGTATGGAACCGAAGGTATCAGGTAGTGTATCGCAGTTAGAGATATTCCTAAAACTAATCCACTTCACTGATCATTCCACTCTATAATAAAAGGAAGAAGTCTTCTTGTGATGACCGTAGGCGAACTATTTTGGAAGAAATTGTGTACAAGTTCCCAAGGTCTAACTGGGGCTCGAGAAAACCAAATTAGTACTTTTACTAGTGTCATTACTGTTCATAATCACTTGTCCCCTATCTTACATGTGTGTTTTGTTTTCAAAATTTAGTGGAACGCAAATGCAACGTGCATACCTGTCTATGGATCGATATGCTGGTTGGCTTGCAAGCCTTCTTGAATCCACAAGGTCGAACTTTCCTGTTCGTGTACGACCAGCTGACTGTAATGGTGACAACAGTAACAGTAGTATTAATAAAGTTGGAGCATTATTTATCAATCCAGTCAATTGTGTTGGTACAGTGATTGCGGTCAATGGCTATCGACGATATTTCAATCTTTATCATCCTTTAATACCTGGATCTCAGAGTAGTTCTGATGAAACTGGTGTAAGATATTCTATTTGATAAAGTCTCGTTCATATAGAAATGCTCTTGTGCATTTGTCCAGCTGTGACTTTATTGTAATTTAAGTGCTGCTCCACTATCAATCAGTTTTTTGTGTCATAGTTTGCACCATTTTTTCATATATCAAAGCGAAAGCTGAACTCATGCAATCGGTCTACACCATTTTTCTAGAGTACACAAATGTGTATATCATTGTTGATTTTAAAGTGAAGGAAATTCTTAGCACTGAATAGTTCATCAGTGTCTGATTCATGTAGAGCTATAGTCCAGTGGTCTTGAAACTTAAATTCTGACTTCCGAGCTATAGGTTCAGTATCTAGTCAGCCAGGTAGTATCAGTAGACGTTGCACAACAGATATGTCTCATTCTATAGTGGGATATATTTGCTGAGTTTCATCCTTTTAGGTATAATTCATCGTGTTCGTAGATCCATCAAAAACTTATATCCGTAAGTCATGTCGTGAAAAGATTTCAAAGTCTAAGTCTCCGGAGTTAAAAAGGTATGCCTTTTTAACCACTATGCCTGAATCTGATAGCCGTTACTTGCAGTCTCACTGTATTTAGAAGGAAAACTAAACTTATCTTCTCATATCAGATATTTTACCAGTGTGTTAAAGTGATGAGTTTTTACCACACATACTCAATACAGCCTCATTTAGCTGCTTTTTTTAGTCGATGGCGAATGAATGAATAAGAATGTGAAACTGTCACTGGTGTCAATAGTTTCCGGACACACTCATCATCAATTTATTAGTTGTTGTTGATGAATTATGAGCAATTTTAAGGTTTAAAAAAAACCACTGACGATCCACTTGTTTTCAATCGTTGAATACCACCTTAAAATTGTTTTTCATCTGATCCCAGTCTGAATTAAAGGTGTTTACCAGATTGTTTTCATTGTTTAAATCGATGTTTTTTACTCATGCATAGTTTTCCATCTGTCTAACTGTGATTTCATCAGAGTTTTCTTTGGAAACTGTTCAGTTACAGATATGACGAAAGCGAACTGACAAGGTATTCTGTGTAGCATCGTGGGTGTGTCGAAACTGCCTTTGATGATCTGCCGCTTTTATTAGTGGGGTCACAATGATTTTGGCCCAAAACGATAGTTTCATCCATGAGAGACTTAGCTCATGTTGACGTTAGTTTGAAATGGTTGGATTAGTTTTTAGTGTAGTTTTAAATCCAATGGATTCAAGTGGTTTGGAAAATCCAGCTATTTGAGTTGAAACTATTCCGGAAAAGCCACTGAGGAAAACTACGTTTTCAGGAACTAGAATGTTATTTTATTGGTAATTACCGCAGAGGCATCTCATACGTAAACATTGAATTTCTCAGGATGGCCATATGTTGATACCTTGTTTAACGACTGATAGTAAAATAGTTGAGTCTGTTAAACATTTCAGTTACCTACTAGGTCTCATCAACCTCAGCAGTTCGGTGAAAGATGAAATTTCGTTACAGACAGACCACTCAGCTTTTGTCAACTTACATCTTTTGTGGCGCGGTCAAGATATCCTGATATCCACATGGATTGAGTATGCCGCAAATAAGTTGCTTCCTCTCACTTCCTGCTTGCATAACATGGGCGTGAAAGCAAAAGAACATAAAAAGACTCCAAACTTTCGACCACAGCTGCCTTAGAAGCACTGACAGCGAATAGTAAGCATCGAGGCAACTAGAAGTAAAATCTTAGGTAAAAGCAGTGAATTAGTTGATCAGTTTTTCAACCTGCATCAACTGAAACATGAGCTACACATCTCTAGTCAGCGTCTAACCAGACACTTTATTACCTGGAGCGAGACCGTGTGGAAAAAGCTTTCCACTTCCAGACTCACGTGATATGTCCTGTGAAGTCCATCCCTTCACCTACTTCGGGAGTTGCAATAACCCACACGGCCTGATTACTGACGAAATTTCAGCTAGGATACAAAGGGCCAGTTTGACATATGCAAACTTGCGTCACCTGTGGCGCCAACTGGCGAGATAAACGACTACCTTTCAAAAGACAAGTATACTAAGCTTCAGTCCGTTCTGTCTAGTTGTACGTTTGTGAGATATGGCCGTTAAAAGTCGAAGACGTTGAAGCGATTTCAGGGTTTTTACCACAGATGTCTTCGTAGCACTGCTCGCGTTTAGCAGAATCACTATGTGAGTAATATTGAAGTCTGCCGAAGGGTACTAGGCAAGAAAGTCAAGTCGATTGACGAGGTTGTGAACCTTCGTTGGCTGAAGTGGCTTGGGCATATACTGCGCATTCCGTGTCAGTGCTTACCTCGACGTGCCATACTAGGGGAAGTCTGCTTAGAGTGGAAGGTGGTTGACGGTGGCCAGACCAAGAGTAGTACTAGTCAATGAAGTCCCTGACTTTAGTCTGAGACGTGTGTGGGAATATAGAATACCTAGTTGGAGTCCTCGAGACGATAGGAATCGGTAGTTGATGATTCTTGGAGACATAGCTGAAAATCGGTCACAATGGCGCAGATGTTTTTACACCTTGACATCTTCTCAAGATTGAATATTTGCACTAATTTGTATTTTCAAATCACTCATTCTGTCACCCCCGTTATCTACTCTGATATCACTTTTCCTATCCACTTGTTCTTTATGTACTGCTGTGGAGTATGGCAACTTGGACCGATGCACCTGTGTGTGACGTTCTACATTGATTTTCTTAGTTAATCAGTCACTCTGTGAAGTCATGTACGGAAATGCTGTCTCTCAAATTGGGCTAGGCAAGGCAACAGAAATCGATGGTTGACAGCTCTCAGTGATATGACTTTAAATCGATCTAAGTTATGCAGATACAACTACGCTTTAACCATTACATCGCATTTCGTCATTTGCTGTATACTCGTTCTACGTTCCCTGATATGCTGATGGAAGCTGTGGCAAATCGAACTGTTACTCAGTAGTACCAGTTCCTGTGTTGATTGGCTCATAAGCATATATGGCGTGAAGACTTACTAGCTAATGCATTTTTGTTTTCAAAATCGCGCTAAGTTCATAATTATTTGGTCATTACTCATCAATTATTTCTATCCAGTCATTTTAAGTCTAATTTGTTGCAGGTTAATAAATTAACTTTTTCTAAATGTGATGACTAGCTTCTATTCATGTTATTGTATTCTTGGTTTTTTATTATCTTCAATTTTATAGGATTCAGACAAAGAAGACTCGTTATCAGATGCAACTGGTAAACATCTTCGACGTAGGCGTATATTTGGTCGTGCTTTCGGTCTAGAATCAGACGATGAAGATGATGTCCAATCAGATAGCATTGACAGGCGTGCGCATTTAAAGTCTAGACATCAGATTACCGATGGTGCATTATTTGAAAGTGAATTGTTGGAGGGTCTACCTAATTGGTTAGATCGTCTATTCGAAGGTTCACTTCCTCGTTATAATGTAATAGAATGGCCAGTTGGCTTACTTGGTGAGGATTAATTGTATAGGAGTGTTATTTTAATTTTTATGATTGTATGTTTCTCTCTTTCTGTTTTTCTTTGTGAAATTTATTATCCAGTTCAACGAATATGCGTGTATTTCGAATTGATTTTATTCCCTTGTTTCCGTGTGCTTTAAAAATTCCACCATAATATTTGATAGTCACTTTTCTTTGTAAGCACTTCGTTGCCTATGTATCCCCTCTGTATGACGAATGGTATGCCTCACAGTTTAGCGCAGGTTTTACAATGTTAATTCTTTGTAGAAAATTTAACTTTCTGTTTCAGTCATTTACTTTTTATTTTATCTTTTATGGATTATAATTATTATGGTAGTCATTGTAATATTCTCACTTTGCAGAGTTTCATCTTTCTTGTGTTCTTTTTTTATGTTCAAAGTACGACCGTTATTACACTTATAAAATGCAAAATTGCTGTTGTATAGGTAATGTTTCTTCGTGTTCCTGTTCACACCCAACATCGGGTATTAATCTGGATTCAGGAAGTTCAGAGCTATTACGTCTTATGCGTGTGATGTATAAGAACTTTGACTGGTAAACTGTTATGCCGTTTCAAAGGAAGTATGTGTATGCTTTCAAATTAGTACAGAAAATGACTAGGCTAGGTGTAACTTAATCATGTGATCCACAGTAGATTACTTTGAAAACTCAAATATTCAAACCACAAACTGTAATCTGCAAGAAAAGCATCACAAACCAGCAGTAGACATGCCTAGTATATACTGATTTACCTGAGTAGTTAAGAATCACTTTGAAACATTTGCATCCACTTTAGGTCTTGCCAGTCATTTCAGATTACTGATCATTTTGGGCTGATGGGCTTGATGCCATAAAAGGGGAATGATCATCCAGCATATTTTCCTCCTGTGTGTGCCTGGTATGTGATGACTAATTGGCCAGAGGG